ATATATATATATATATATATATATAAAACTTCTTTTTTTTTTCATAAGCAGGACTGCAAGGGTTTCTTCTGTGGTGAACATTTTATTGGCAGGACAAAATTATTCCTGAAAGAAAGATGGGTTTGCAGTTTTTATAGTTGAGCCCGCAAAAATCAGATCGCTATACAATAACCCAGCAGTCTGTATTATGAGTGTATTATGAGCCTGACGGCTCATCAAGCTTATAATACACTGGGGGAAACGCTGCTGTGTGTGTGTGTGAGTGTGTGTATATATATATATATATATATATATATATATATATATATATATATATTATATATATATATATATATATACATATATATATATATATATATATATATATATATATATATATATATATATATATATATATATATATATATATATATATATATATATATATATATATATATATATATATATATATAAAGAGAGAGAGAGATTAATTACACGGAAGAAGCCGGAGCACCAGAGAGAAGTTGAAGCAAACAACCAGAAACGATTGTTGATTTCACGAGGAAAAGGATTAGATCAAAGCTTGTTTCCTTCGTGGGAGAAGAAGTTCAGGAATATAAAGATCTCGGTGTTCATCTGGACTGGAGACGCAACAGTGAAGCGTCTATAAGAAGGCACAAAGGAGTCTGGACTTCTGGAGTAAATCTGATGTTGAGTATCATCTGTTGGGGCAGCATCAGTCCCAGGCTGATATAGAAGGCTGGTTCTGTTCTGGGAATGTCAGTGGAACATCTGGTAATGCAGAGAATGATTCTTCATAGGATCAAGAAAATATTTGAAACATTACTTTCAAAAATTTGATTTTACATAACCACCATACTTAAAAGTGGACTTGAACAAAATAAGCCATGGTTTGAGTGGCTCATATGCACATAAGTAAACTGTGCTTTTACAAGATCAAAACAACTGACAGAGACAATGGCTCTAACTAGGAGAATTATCATTGGATTCTGATCCAGTCTGTTATTGAGCAGAGATTCCAGGACACTCTAGCATTTGACTCTCACAAAAGAGCCTTTTCACTTTTCATGTTTTCACATGAGCTGTACAAGGAAATGATATTGTTACGGTTAATCAGGAATAACAAGGAAATGCAACATCCTTATTCCACAGAATATTGGGTTGCCACATGTTTACCACATGCAACATTTTAAAGATAAAAATGTGCTTTATGTTTTAATCATTCCTTTCATAGGTACAGGATTCCATGTTTATAAATAATGGTGTCAGAATCATAGTTTACATTTACAATCTGACATGAGTGACTAATCTTTGTTGCTACAGCAAAACTATTCTGTTCAATGTATGTCACAATGTTTTGAAATTCCAAGATAAGTGCAAGTCATTCCTCAAGGTACATCTGGAGTCGGATGCGTTTTCATTCACTTTCCAACTGTGTGAAACTGTTTCTGAGCTCACTGTCGTGGGTGCTTCCTGATTTCATTGATTGAACAAGATTACTCACGTTAATTACGTTGTGTTTCACTACCATGTTGCAACAAAGAAATTTTTTTTTGAAATGTCACGTACAATATAGTTCGTCTCACCAGTCAGGTACATTTTTTCCAATGTGTTGCTTCACCACTAATTAAGTGGGAAATATGTCATTCATAGTTTGTTCTTAAGTAGTTTCAACTTTGTCACGTCAACACTTTCTATGTGTAGTACTAAAGGAGGGGTGTCAAACTCGTCCTCAAGGGAGGTTTTAGATGTCCCACAGATACAAAACACTGGAATAAAATGGCTTAATTCTTCTTCTTCTTCTTTAGGTTTTAACAAATGGCTTAATTCCCTCCTTCTTGTGCAGATAAGTTCTCCAGAGCCTTGCTAATTACCTAATTATTCTATTCAGGTGTGGTGCAGCAGAGGCCCATCTCAAAGTTGCAGGGCAGTGGCCCTCCATGACTGCAGTTTTACACCTGTGTACTAAAGGCTTAGCGAGTCTGAAATCATAACATCTTTTACAGAAACTCTTCAGCTTAGCTATTTTTACCTATTTCTAGAGATTTGTGGAAAACTGAGAGAAAAATTATTTTTTTGAAGATTTTTCAAAAGTTGATGAAATAGAGTAAATAGAGTTCGACTAACTGACATAATCTATTGCAGATTCTTCATATAGAAAAAATAATTATGAAAAATTATTTATATATATTATAAATGCTTCACTGTCAGGGCTGATGTTCATGAAAATGATACAACACCTCCCTCTGCTGACACTGCTCTCACTTTCAAGTCTTACAATAGGAGGAGTGTCCTGACCTTAACCAAACTCAGCAGTCCCAACTCCACAGCTGCCGATCCTGTGGGAGATTAATGTTCACTCTTATCTGTACAGATGACCCAAACATCACTGGGATATCGCCTCAGGAATGGGTTGATTGTTTCAGGTCACAGATGGACTCAAATCAGCACGAAGAAGTAAATATGTGCCCATCCATTTACTTGTTACAGATTGTGGGTAAACACGTCTTGATGTGGAGGAGCTGCTGTTGTATTGTTACAGCTGGTTGGGCTGCTGAGAGAGAGGATCAGTGGAGGCCAGAAACAATAATGCGGTGGTCATACAGGACTGAGAGGGAGGGAAGGTCAGGGGAACCGGCCAACGCAATTCATTCCCATAACCTTGACATTTTCCTGACAAAGCGAAAGTAATGTTTTGACTGTGTAGCACACTGCTTTGTAAGACTGGACGATTGATCATGATACTGTTTATGTTAAGATGTTGTTTATTGACAGACTGGAACGGCAACCAGAAGAATTAGTTTTCATATTCATCTAGAGTTCATTTTCTTTTGCTTTAAAAAACAAAATAAAGGAAAAATAAGATTTTGACCCTCCATTGTGATATAAACACATTTCTTACTTCAGAGAGACCTGTTCATAAGTTGCATTTTATGTTACATGTGAGCTCTATTTATTGTCTTCTTTCTCTTGTTTCTGTCTTTTTCTTTATTTTTATAAAATTACCTAACAATATGTAGATGCAAGGTGACGCAGCAAGAAGTTTGCATAGAGTTTGTCACATAAAAATAATGATAACATCATCAGCTACTGCAGGGATCAAAGTGTAAATCTATAAGTAATCAAGCCCTGATTTACATATTTACATTACTATCTATAGGTAATGAACTGAAATTACAAAAATACGAAGACTACCAAACAAACTTTCCTCAATGAAAATGTTTCCACCTAAAGTGGTTACTAATATGAAAGAATTTCCAGGGAAGGACCTTGACTTCATTCTTCTAAAACGTTTCACAGCAGATTTTGCTCACTGGATTTCTTTATCTTTCTCTCACTCTTTGGATAGGACTCTCTAAACAACTAGATAGGATAACAGTCTGGCTCCTTGTCTTTTTTAAAGACGTTTCAGTCCACTGCCCTCACAAGTACAAAGTTAGATTTAATATTGATGCATTTCTTTAAAAAAAAGTTAATACTGAACGTGTAAAATCTCATAAAACCAAACAAAAGAAATATTTTACATTTATTTTTTCTGCTCAGCATTGAGACAACAAAAGGAAAGTTTTAGAAAGTTTAGCAACTTTGTAAAACTGGAAGAAAAAGGGGAAATGCACATTCAGAGGTCAAAGTTTTCCACTATGCTGCAGAGAAACCATGTGCATGTCATCAGATTGTTACAGCCTTAGCCTCCACAAACCAAACATTACTCATGTCCCCACAACGTTGACACTGGCTGGACTTAATCACATGAGATTCTATAAAAAGAGAACTGTGTTTGTGTTTTACACATCAGGTTTGGTTTTAAGCAACTGAAATGTGTTTATAATGAGGTGTTGAAATCAGTGGGGCAGTAATTCATCTCATATAAAGCCTCTGGGGTCTGATCAGAAGGATTGTCTCACACTGAACTAACAGCGTTTCTTTTTATTTTATTATTTTTTTTCCGGAGGTGTCATTTTCCTTAGATGGAGCAAGTTTGCAGTTAATGTGGATCATCTTCCTATGTGGGTGGTTAACATGAATTCTTTAGAACTGTAACTGTGTTGGTCTGATGCATATTTCTTTATCGTTTACGCTCTCTGAAAAAATTTACTTTTCTGATGAAAGGGCTCCATTCTCAGCCAACATGTAGCAATAAATCCCATAGACTCTTTATAAGATGCATTTTCATTACATCTCTTTAAAGGGGCAGTGTTATGTAAAATTGTCGTTTTTGAATTTTGCATTATGTTATATTGTTAAAAAACAATATTGTCATGATTCTTTCATGCGTGTTTGAGAAATCCTTTAATCTTCCAAGACAACCTTCAGCTGTGCAAAACCCATGGGTGGACCTAGCGCTGCCTCCTAGGATGAGCTCCTCCTTATAGTTGCAGCTTCTAAACTTCCTTCAGACTAGCCAGTAGCAATTAGCAAACACCTAAGATGACAGGTGTTTGCAGTCATCTCAGCAAACACCTGAGATGACAGCATCCAGATGACAGCACTTATAAACGCTTATGATGCGCTTATAAACAGCGCATCATAAGCAGATGTGCTGCTTATGAACTCCGCAGGGCATCTGCGGAGTTCATAAGGCAAGCTATTTCTCAGTGGAACACTGTTAAAAACATTGTTAAAGGGTTAATACAGGAGTGATGTTGAGATGGAAGAGTTTTATAGAGCAAGGAGTTAAATTGTGAAGTCAAATTTATTTTAAGTTATATTTGATGTTTAGCATTTTTACAACAACTGAAGATAACCTGATTGTACTATAAAAATGGCGCTATGTGGCTGGAAAATATATAATACTGCCCCATAATTACTTAACTTTATTTTTTCCACAACTTGCCCAAATTTATTTATTTATTTATTTATTATTTATTTATTTATTTATTTATTTATTTATTTATTTATTTGGTTATAATCACATTTTAGTGTAATATAGATACAAACACTAGGGGGCGGTAAGTCGTCGCTAGTTTGTTGAAGTTCACTGAAAAAGAAAGTAAACCGGAAGTAGGCTTTGTTTTGGTTTTATTCGGGGCGGGAAAGACAGCAAATTACATGGTAAGTTTCTACTGGAGTTGGTTTTACCTTAGTAAGTCTTTTCATGTACTGTTGACAAGATATAACAGTCGCTTTGTAAACTTGGTGACCGTTTGTATTCGGTTTCCGTCAAGCACAAAGTAATGAGCCAGATTTAGCTGATGGCTGCTAATCGAGAACAATAACTTCTGCGATCGCTTCAAACTAACACGCTTCTGTAGCTTTTCTGCTTTTCTTTTGTTTTAAACGTGGATCAGCAAACAGCTGACGAAGTTGATAAGCAGCTGTATTGTGCGCAAATGTAATATTTAACCTGTGTTTAAACGGAAACGCATACAGAACCACGGTTTGGTGAAAATTGTTTGAGCCTGATTTTGAAGTAGAAATATTTTCATTTTGTCTTTATTTTCATCTGTTCATATGTGTCTTGATTGCAGTGCGATAATCTAAACTAATGCGTTATATATGTTTCAATTACTTGGTGATTTCTGTTTAAAAATAATGTCCCACTTATTTCTATGGCACGAGTTCTAAAATGGCTTAATTTGTCCATTAGGGCATTTTAGGCTGATTTAAGGGCGGCGTCTTTTTTATACAGAAATATTTTTATTAAACACACTAAAGTTATTGTCTAGCAAGGTATTTTGTGTTCATTTCAGATAATTATTTCTCACTGTTCATTTGAAAAGGGAGATTGTTAGAAACAAATTAGTTCACAGCTGTAAATTTGACTGAACAGCAAAACATCTTTAAGAGCATAACTTGCACACAATATTGTTGTTAAAGTCATAGAGAAAAATATAATTTTTGCTAAAATATTTATAGTAAAAATGTGTCAGGAGCGGTTGCTACTTCAATTGTCACTAACAGCATTTTTTATACTTTAATTTATTTCTCTAGGTTTCTTAAAAATGTCTTCCAGACAGCAAGATCCAGGCCAATCTATCTCTCCAGTCTTATTCCTGACTGTGGAGGGTGAACGCATGTCCTTCTTCCTTCGACCTGGTCCTCATAAACGAAAGTTGCAGCCACTCATCAAAGCTGGAGGAGGGATATTATGTAGAGTCCAGGTGCCTGGAGCCATCCTGCTGGTTGATCCTGAGGAAAACAGCTCTGTTCTTGAATCCGATGCTCATCGGTGGGTGTTGGACTGTAGACAATACAGATATATTACAGTCAGTTAACAGTATGGAAGGTCCTTTGAGGTTTTAAAGGAGACTGATCTGGTAAATGTTGTCTCACTGATATTTATTTTTATTTTCAGGTATGTTTCCACCCAGTATATTCTTGACTGCATTAAGAAAGAGGAGCAGCTGGATTTGGATGATTATAGACTGAATCCAAAAGCAATCCAGAAATCCTCTTCAAAATTAAACGACAGCCGTACTGGACTGTCAGGAGGTACAACATCAACACTTAACTATGGACTTTTTTCATGAGGCTTCAGCTTCCCATCTGACAGATTTTTCAGATTGAAATTTGTGATTCAGTCTAGAAGTAGTATAGTCTGAATCACATTAGCTTCTTGGCTTATGCCACACTTGGCTTATGCCACACTGTTTCCCAGTTGTCTATTGAAAAAAAAAAGATTGTTAAAGCAAAAACACCTTATTTACTACCTGGAAAATCAAAATAAGAATATGTATGTCATACTGTAAGATGGACCAGCTACATTAGTAGTGAAAAAAATATTTGCTACATAGATAATGAAATTCTTGCACTTGCTCTTAATTGTATGGCATCCAAGATCACGTCAGACAAATTCAGCAAATTCTTCTTCCCCACTAACTCAATAAAGGTAGATGTGTACAAAATACTAAATAAATGTTAAATCAACTAAAATGTCTCACTATTAAGTTGAATACATTATTATGTCCAGTTACTTTCTAAAACTATTAAGTTGTATCATTTTTTTAATTTATAATTCCCCTCTCTTCAATTTTCATTAGGCAGAATTCCCTACAGCCCTGAAGAGGATGCTGCCATTTTAAATTTCATCAGCAAGCGTAAGTCAGAGACCGGGGGCAACCGGCTTTGGCAGGAGATGGAGAAGCAGCGGGTGACCAGTCACAGCTGGCAGTCTATGAAGTCTAGATTCAAAGACCAACTATCAAAGAACCAGTCTGCATCTACAGAGGTGGAAACCAAAGAAGACAGCAACAAGCTGCCTGAGAAGAAGACTGAGGTAATTACAGTGAAATATCATGTGGCCCCTTACAAATTTCTTCAGTTTTTTTGTTTTAATGTTTCAAATCATCAAACGCGTTTTAATATCAGACAACGGTATCCTGAGTTACCTATGTATCATATTAATAACTGTTTAACAGCATATGTTTTGCTTCTACTTACAAATTCAAACATAGGTTTTTATAATGTAATATTATGAAATGCAAAGTATAACATTTAGTTAGTTAAAAATGTTATCTGATCCAAGAGTTTCACACACCAAAACAAATTTGTAGCTCCTTGAGTTGTAGATCAGACAGCTGCCACTGAGATGCACCAAATTGTTAGAAAAATGTGTAGCTACACATGGATACATGGATTTTACATATTGGCAACACAAAAATGGATGGAAATCTGAGTTGATACAAATTTGACTTTTTTGAATGAATATGAAAAGAGAAAAGAGTTCATTAAAGAAGCCTGGGCCTTTGTGGAAAAAAATCACTTTCCCTGAAATCTAGAATTGGATTGCGTGTCCTGTGGCGGCAACAATAATCATTAAACATTCCTGATTATTTCCAGTGAGTGTTTTACATCACTGTGGGTGGATTTTGGTTGTCTCATCTTTGCAGAATTATCACAATTCAGCCACATTGAAGGATTTATGAGGAAAAACATCATGTTTTAAGTAATGCTGGAGTACTTCAGTTGGATTCTAGACTTTGACTAGGCCACTTTGTTGATATTTATTTGATATTAATGCAAGACAAGAAGGCAAAGACAGAAGAAATTTGTAAGAGTGAAAATATATTCACACTATAGTGTAGCTTTGTATCAATAAACAAATCCACCTGTGGGCTATTTTTAGATTTTTAGTGGCCGTTCATATTTCTGCTTTCAGGCGAAGCTCAATCAGAAATCTAATGCTGAGAAATCTTCCTGTGAAGCTAGTCCTGCTCAAACACATTCAGCAGAATCAGATCTAACACAGGTACTGCTCCATTCTTTAGATATTTTATGTCATGATTTTATGTCCTGATTTGGACATTTGGTTGAAGGCAAACCAAGAGAACTGTATTTCCTGTCCTGACAGATCGATGTCCAGTCAATACCAGCAGCAGTCACACCTGAACATGTAGAAACTCCGATAACAGCCTCTGTTATTGTGGAAGAGAGCAAAACATCAGAGGAACAGCCAAATATAAACATTCAATTGGAGAGTGTTGGAGGTGAAACTTCTCACTGTTGTCAAACTGAAGAACAGGCAGAGAAGCACGCCAGCACAGAGACAACAGAACCAGAAAAAGATGAACCTCTGACTCCTGCTTCCCCACGAAAACATCATTTATCAAAAAACTCCCCTGCAGATCAGCTGAAACTAACGAGTTCACCTAACAGAGCAAAAGAAAAGCTGGAGGCATCGCTGGTGCAGGAGGAACCACAGCGTCGATTAACACGCAGGCAGCTGGAGCTGGAGGCAGCGTCTTCATCCCCTGAGCCGTACGGAAAAAAACTGAGATCAGCCTCCAGCATGGCGGAGCGGTCCACAGCATCCCCACCACACTCGAAAAAAACAAAAGCTGCCGTGAAGTTAACTAACCAAAGAACCCAAGTAGCAGAAGAACCGCCTCATAAGAAAGCCAGAGGGAAGAAAGCTGCAGCAGAGGTGGAGAGTCGGGTGGAGCAGAACAGAAACAACGCTGAAACTAAAACTGTGCAACCAGGTTGGACATAAATATGTGATGGTTTGGTGAATATATATATATAGAAAGTAGAGTGTATTTCATCTCTCACTTGCTTCCCATGACTAAATTTGGTTGAAGATATTCTGTTTTGACAAGAAATCTGTTTCTTTGTTTTTCCAGATGAAGCCATTTCATCCCCACAGAAAGCAGAAAAGAAAAAAGAGAAAAGGCAGCTGGGAATTCTTGAAATGGCAACTAAAGAGTTTGAAGATGATTTTGAGGTAGGATATAGACGTCTGCATGGTTATATGTGTATAAGCACCATTAAAAGTACAACTGACATGTTCTTTCAGATGCACTGATTGGGGTTCATTGTAAATTGCCTGAATTACATTCAAAGCAGATATTATTGCAGTCTTAAAGACTAGAGATGCATGATGGAGGTTATATGAGAAAAACACTGTCTGTCTGCTGAAAGTTAGTTACTCTGGTGCAAGAATGTCACAGAACATATAATTGATCCTTTCTCCAGTCAGACGTTTACACATTATTTTTCCTATTTAAATAAATATTATAAATTGCTTGAAGTAGAATTGTTGCTTCTTTTTTTAATCAAAGGATCCAAGCCTTGTGGATCTTTCCAGCAGGTGCATTTATTACACAGTCTTAGAAACAGAACTATTAAAAAATAATAACTTTAGATACATGATTGGTCGGTGCTGTTCAACCGAGATTAGTTGATTTCAGTTGAGAAAAACTGTAAGCTGATTCAATAACAGGTGGAAATTCCTCCCTACATGTATTTACCGCAATCTGATTTGTGAATCCGGTGCAGATATGACACAAATGATGACGGCAAAAAAGATGCAAAAAATGGAGTGCTTCACAAATTCTCTGTGTGTCAGTAACATTCAAACCAAACATTCCAATAAATTTAAATACTTCTCTTGTTTTATAGTCTGATGAAAATGAAGGTCCAGATCTCCTTGACAGTATTGAAAGAACAGCTGAAACAACACCTGCATCAGTAGATGCTCCACAGCCTTCAGACTCATCTGCAGATCCACCAGGTACTCAGCCCAACCCTGAAGCTGAACCCAACACAGAGGGGGTCGGGCCACAGACTCAGAGCTCAAGCAGCAACTGCGTCCCGAACCCCGACGCCCCCGATGCCGAGTCCGTCCAGCTGCCTGTTTCAGAGCTCATCAGCGACTCTTCAAAGGCCCATTTGTTCATATTTGACAGCGAATCTCAGCTAGATGACTTTCAGTTTGTGGATGGCGAAGGCTCAGCAGCTCCACATCACCCTCAGTGCTCAGAGGACAAAGATGCAGCGTTTTCTTTAACTCAGTCGGAGTTAGAAGAGGATAAGCAGCGAATCAGGGAGCTGATGACCCAGACCAACCAGGTGAGCATTGCAGAATTTAACCTCTAGCCTTGCAATGTTACTAAAATTTGGTTTTAATTGAATTTGTTTGTTTTTCCAGGACCTGGTCAGTGTCACCAAAGCTTTGCTAAAGACCAGTGGAGACTTCACTGCTGCCGCTGACCTGCTTCTGAACCCCTCATCTGTTTCGGAACCATTTTGGAGTCGCAATGATGACAGTTTGTTGCTTTCAGCCGATCCTGTCAGCCGGCAGAAGCTGCAGGAAAAATACGGGGAGGAGAATGTGGCCAAGAGGATTGTGTTTCTTGAAGTGAAAGGATAAAGATAGTACAGGACAACAAGATTGACGGTCTGGGCCGCTGAGATCTTGTGCTCGATTTAAAATTTAAACCAAGATTGACTATTAAAACAGGGATTGGAAAGATTTTATTTGTTACACCTAGTGTGTATAAATATGGAGATGATCCTTGTTTTGTTTTAAGAATATTTGTGATGCATTTTAGCCAGAAAAGATGTAATTGTATTTGTTTTTAATATTTTATTAAATTGCCTAATAAATATGCCAGTACCATTTAATAAGTTGGATTGTTTTTTTTACTGTCATAACAGGCAAACCAACTTTCTTGTGGACCGGTTTGCTGTTTCTTCATGATGCTGTTTGTTCAATAATGCTCTTTAAGAAACACCTGAAGCCTCCATTGAACACCTGAATTTATACTCAGTTTAAATTACCTTATGTTAAGGTAATTGAATGTAATTAATTTATTCATTAACCAATTAATAAATTAGCATTTATTCATTGGTTGACTTCTGAAGATAATTTCTTTTGTCTTTTTAAGGGTATAATAATTGAAATGCATCAAATTTGGTAAAAAAAATAAATGCATAAAAAATAATATCAATGTATCATTTTCTTTCTTTTCATTGTTATTTCAAATTAGAATCTAATTTTAATATAATTATATCAACACAATATTTTCTGGTAAGCAATAATTAGAAAAAAACTTAAAAAAAAACACTAGATTATTTTTTTAACCAATCCATCGCTTTATTTAACTTTACCCCAATACTAACTGAGTACATTCATTATTTTGAAACTAAGACTGCCCAACACCCACATGAATACACCGTATAAATAGTTTCAACAAAAATATTACAAATAATAGACTTACAAATGTAAGAGAAAAGAGTAAGGAATATAAATAAACAGACAAAATGCCAATTAAACTGAAGATGTGACCTGTGGGGCAAAATATCAAGACTGGAACCTGATAGAGTTCAGCAGCTTTTATCCAAATGTTGCTGCAGCTTGGACCTCCCAGTCACATTCATGGAACTGAAACAGCAAATATGTTTGCAAACAAACATAAACTGTTAACCAAATAATCCCCAAACTTTATGAATAAAAACTCCTTGTATAAAACCCTTTTTTTTAATATATGAAACATTCACATCCAGCAAATTTACATACGCGTTGTTGGTGGTAAGCTTGAGAACCCGTTCAGTGAAGCAAAACTCACATTGAAGTTCTCAGCAGATAACCAAACGTCATGTGTCCCTGTGTTTTCACAGCTACATTATTTTAAGGTCTTTAAAGGCTTCCAATCAAGCTACATTCAACAAATGAAAGAGTCGCTACAGCTTTTTGAACTAAAATGAGAAAAACCTGCTTTAAGGAGTGGCAAAGTGGAGATGTTTTACCTGACATCCAGTAGTTTACAGGAGATACAGATGTTGGGAAAACCCTGTATGGTTGGCATGTGCACTGAGACACTTTAGTCTGTGCAACTTTCCAGAGTCAGAATCATTTCATCACGCTGCTGTACATGATTGCTTTGGTTGGCTGGTTAGTGTGACGATCAGATGAGCGAGAAAAACCTCAGACCTGCCATTTGTGGATGCTGCGGCCATACAGTGTTAAATAATGGTATCACACAGTCCAGTAGAAAAAAACAGAATGGCTCTTTGTTACTCATCAGGCTGGTTTCATATCATCTGAAGACAATAGCGAAGCTGTTTTTCACTGTTTTTATGTTTTGTGTTGTTTTGTGTTAGTAATTGAGAAATAATTGGAACAAATATGTTTAAGTTATTAAAAGCTTAATATAGCGACACAATCTAATGGTTAACACAGTCTGGTTAAAGAAAGTACACCTTTTGCCACAAGTCATTTTGTAACAAATATGACAGACAGTACACAGTCTGTATTGCAGCTTTTTAGCTCAAAATATATATTAGAAAAGACACAACTTCTTTTCTGCACATCAGCATGCCTCAGAATATTCTGCCCCCCAAAAACTTCAAGATAGAAGTGTCACTTAATCTTGGATCCAGTAAATCATTGAACAAAAAAAAAAAATGATTGAAACAAAAAAAAAAAAAAAACATTAATTCTCTCTCCATCCATTGATTAGTTTCTGTGCTGGATTATTTCCTCAATCTGCAGCAAAATGAGTTAGCATGAAAACAAAAGGCCTCTGGGGTATATACGATCACATGCTGGCAGAGCTCATGTACAGGCCGATGTTTCTAGCCCTGTTCTAAAAAAACTAAGCACTAAGTGGAATCTGCTGTCCTGCAGAGGACTCTCCAGAACAGCAGGATATGGAAAAAATTCACCTAAATTAAAACAGCAGAAATGTATTTTATTTAGCTTAGTGTGAAGTATGCCCTTTGGTTTAGCATGAAAAGCTGAAAGGAGTTGTTTACCATTAATGATTTAGGTTCTTACAATCCAACTCCTCTATCTTTCTCATTTTCAAGAAACAAAATGCTTTTCCTCAACAAATCAGAGCAGAGCACTGCTACTTCAGCAGCAAGCAACACCTGGCCGTACTCTGCCTTGCATAAGTAGTCGTACTTTTAAACTTTGTTCAAATTTTGTCACAATACAGTTGCCAACAACAACGTGTTTTATTGGGGTTTGCAGGCTGAAGAATACTTGAGACTAGAGCAACAACCCTAGACATACTTTTATTGAATAACTGTGGAAAGTTACACATGCTGATATGTAACTTTCGGGATGTGTAACTTATAGATTGGCATAAACATCAATCTATAAATTGATGTTTATCGATACAATGGTACTTGTATCTATAAACTTGTACTTGTACAATGGTACTTGGTTTGGACCATTTTGCAAATTCGAATGTCTGTAAAGCTGTAAAAAGGTGGCTCTGCAAAATATCAGTGCAGAACAACAGAATACCACTGAACAGCACATTTTTTACATTCACAGCAGCTAAAAATCAAAAGTTATCATTTGAAAACCATGTATATTATTAAATGTACCTCCTGTGCTTGTCTTTCACATAAAATCCCAATGAAACTAACATTTTTGGTAGGATTGTGGCAAAACATGAAAAAACCTCAAAGGCTATGAACACCTTTGCAAAGCAGTGTACTGTAGTATTTTAGGGGCTCTGTCCCAGTTGACGTCCCCAACAAAAACAATACAACATAAAAAAATACCTGCTTTCCTTAAAAGAGGCAGATGTCTGTAGAAGAAGCTAAAACGGGTGATAGCCAGTCCAAAACAGAATAAGGCTCGCTAAGTTGCATAGAATTCAGTAGTGCACCGGTGCATTTACAAAAAAGGCTGTGCTCCTTTCCTCTGTCGACTTTAGCAAGCCTGCAGAGTTCCCTCAGAAACAAGCAGAACTTCAACAGCATTTGTCTCCTCTTTTCTTTGTCTTCCTGACAGAAGACACTAAAACCCCGCCACTTCAATTTGGACTTTAAATGCCACACAAAAACAAGGGACTATTTCAATCAGGGGCAACAAAATGTTTCTCAATCTAAGAGATGTAAAGTAATCATTTTGGTGAATGGAGGAGTACAATATGTACTGTATTTAATTCCTTTAGAAAAAAAGGATTTTAACTGGATAGAAAATACTTTTCAGCTTGTTTAAAATATTTTTTTCTCCTCTGCAAAATTATTTGAAGCCCTGGAATCAGCGGCAAGAAAGAGAGCACAGCTTAGTGTCTGCATTTACAAAGTAAAGACACCCCCCACCACCACTTTCCAAACAGTATAAAAGCACCAGTTCAGAGCCTGCACCATGTTAAACTTGTTCCACCTCCAGCCAGGATGACATTTTGCTCATATTTAAACTCCATTGATTAATTGAGGCAAAGAACAGGAGATGGAACAAATCCCAGCTGTGCAGCTATCAACTGAGCGGGACTTCAGCCTCTGCATCCTTATCCGAGATCTCGTCCTGGATCTCGTCTGTGTTCCCTGAGTCGCTACTGGCCACCGAGCTGAAAGAAGGAGAGTTCCTGCCGCCTTTAATCATCCGCCGACAGGTCTCCATCTGCACGTCGAGGCCCCTTTTCATGCTGCACATCTCCATGTACTCATGCAGATGTCGGTTCATGTCGCTCTTTGCTGTGGCCAGCTCCATCTGAAGCAATATCAACAAGATTATGAGTTCAGATAATCAATTGAAACTCTATTGAAGATCTTAAATGCATTTGAACTGAAAGGAAGTGCAGCTGCATTAATTCAAAAAAGGGAAGTTTGACTTCAGTTTGGCTTGGAGGACGTTATTAATTCTGCACCGTTAGAAGTTAAAGGTGTGTTTTGTGTTAAAATAAAATTTGTGGATGAGAATACATTGCAACGTTGACCAAGGTCTGAGCTAAATGTGGGATATATTTGGTCATGAAGTGCAAATTTATCTAAATCTGTATGAAAAGCAAATGCTTGAGCTAGGATGGTAAAACTATTATCTGCATCAACGAAAATCCAACAACATTGTTTCTTTTCTAATGCATACAGGAATCACTTTTTTTCACTACAAAATCATATTCATATCAGTGTACCTCAATCTGTCCGATGGTCTCCTGGTACTCCTTCTCCCTGCTCTTAAATAGGGTCTCTGTTTCATCAATGAGGCTGCCAAGACTTCCATCCTGGGAATCCTTACAGAGCACAGACATAACCTTCATTCATCATGCATGAGTTTGCATCTTACACTGCATCCATAGCATTCATGCACGCCCTGACTTGCACAAGTCTGGAAAAAATGTTTTCATTCAGACTGAACCTACGGGATCAGCCGCTTCGGCGCTGCCTTCGCAGGGGCAGGCGGCCGCGCAGGTTGTTGCAGCGATGGTGCATGGCATGTTGTAGTTTGTGAAATCCTCCCAGAGCAAGAGAGTGTCCTCGTTTTCCTCCCACGTCAGACTGTCGCAGTCATCGTCGATTTCAAACGTCTCGCGCCTGGCAACAAACGAGTTATCTGAACAATGTCTGCGTGGGACCGGAAAGAACAAAAGAGAGAGGAAGAGGGAGGAAAGCATAGAAAGGTGTAACAGCCAGCAGGTTCAGCAAAGGTTGAAGGCAAAGAGGAAAATGAAAATGTCACAGATAAGTTCAAAGAGAAGAGTAGCAGTAAGGGAAGCAGCCTCTGTAGCTCATCAGTTAATTGCCAGTTCAAAAGAAAACATATGAATACCAACATAAAAGCCTACAGCTCCGCCAACATAACATGCAGCCCATTGGTTGCAATATTTTAAATTAACAGCAGAGGGAGATGAAAGAACATGCACACTCACACAACAATGTCGAGAAAGTCGTTTTATTTGGTGTGTGGTGGTTTATTGGGGATTGAGGTGTCACTCACAGCTGGTTGAGCATGCGTTTCATCTCGTCAGTGATGTTGAGCGATCCAGGAACCTCCTCCTCAGAAGTGCTTGGCTCAGCGTCCATCTCCGAGTTTTCCTCATCGGAGACGGTCTTACGTTCCTTTCTCCTGCAGCACGCCGCAGCACCCTATAGAATATAAAGCTTAAAAGGTATAGGATATGTATAATATTCACCAAATGGCAAACTTGTATGCCATTTATTTTATGCAACAAAAAAAAAAACATATTCAGACAATTTTGAGTACATTAGTGAGCATGCACGCCTGCACCTTTCAGAGAGGTCAGTAAGTGCAGAATCAGCTTGAGGCATAAGGATCAGTTGCAATATTATAAGCGACTGGCAGCTCTGATTTCATTTGAGCTGAATGTTTCCTCTGCAGAAGAATTCATATTTTTTTGCTGCATTTGCTGTCAGCTTTTCTCACAGCAGACAATCACACAGAAACTTGCCTTCTCTGGGAGCGACCTGGCGGGGCTGACGTTGAACATTTTCGACATGTCCTCCGAGTTGCGTTGCTGAGCCACATCGCACAGCTTGGCTGTGATGTCAATACGCCTGCAGATGTCCATGTCCACCCGCCTGGCTTTCTCCTGGATCTTTGAGTCCAGGTCAGTCATTTGCTGCAAAAAGGAGAGCATGTTGATGATAAGTTCAACAATTTTCTTCATGCTTCTTTGACATTTTTTGGATGAATTAGACCTCCACTACGTGAAGCTGGGCGTAGGGACAGGATGGCAGCATTCCGGCTCTTATTTTTAAAGGGTATTTACACAATTTACGCAGGACATTTAACTTCTTCTGAGGGCTAACTAGACATTTAAATGGTTGACAGGTAAAATAATTCACATTTAATTATTACCTTTACTTTGTTATTTACCAATTCTGCAACTTCATAGAGGGTTTGTAATAAATAAATAAAAAAACTAATAAATTGTCTTTTATAGGCACACATCAGCGTGAGTTTGTAGCTGTCAATATTGATTTTTATTTCCGAAATATTGTTTTTGACATTCTGGAAAATTTGGTGTTAATGGATTAAAACTGGAAACTTGTCATCCTGTTACTCCAAAAGACTTCCATTGTTGCACATTGTTGATGAAAGTTTTATTCTTTAAAAAAAACAACAATGTTTTGATACAGTCTTCCTAAAAAGTAGAAAAGCATTAGATTGTGGGAGCAGACAGCAAGCTGTAAAGGACAAACTCTGTTCTAATGCAGCCAATGTCGAATCACCAAAGTCAAAGTCACATCAACCACATACACACACACACGCACACGCACACACATACACACACAGAATAATTTCTAAAACACATTAAATAATCTAGACCTCCTAGATAATCTTCTCACACTTACCAGTCTCTGCATTCACACATCAGGAATGAAGTAAAGAACAAAAAATAACATGAAAATTCAACAGCAGGCAGATGGTAATGTAAAGATAAGCAACATAAACAATAGAGACTTTCTAAAAATAACACAGCCTGGCTGTTTATTTGTGACCAAACAACAGCTGTGAATGCTGTAGTGTTTTAACTGTGCAATCGCACCAGGACACACCTGTTTGGAAACAATACAGACTCTAGATCTAAAGCCTCTCTTCAGTTCAACAAATGCTTATTTTGGGGGTTTTATGGCAATTCACATTTTCATGTTTCCAAACAAGGAAGGAAGGAAGGGTGTGTGTTTTGCTACTCAAACCAATAAAAATGAGAACATTATTCTAATAACTCCTGGGAAAACTGTTGTAAATGCTGCTGTAATCAGTGCTTTGAGTTGAATAGCTATTACAGGTTGTAAGACTTTAGAGAAAGACGCTGACGTCATTATAGCAGTGATTAAATACTTACATCACTCATCAGGCTCTTGAATACCACGAGTTCAGCCTTCAGTCTGTCCACCTTCTCGTTCAGCTCATTCTGGATCTCTGACGACTCCTGGGCGCTCTGGATGGACGACACCAGAAGGAATTCAATACAAGGGAAAATTCATATTTTGAGATATAAGACTTTAAAATAGTTGTAAATCATACTAAACTACATCTAGATTAGCTTGGCCATGATTACAGACTAATGACATTTTAAGTTTTTAAAACAAACACACAAAAAAAAACGTAACATCAACTTTAAAAGTAGTTAACTTTATTACCCAGGGATAAAGTGTCACATGGGGATGTTCTCATAAGTTTAGTGGCAGATAAGCCTCTCTCTTGTCTTTAAAGTAATTATGTGGATACAACCAGCATCTGGTTGATGAAAAATTGGGTCAAACTTTCATGGAGTCTTTCAAAGGAACACAGGATGTACTTTGTTTTTCGCATTCCTGTAGAATAAGCAGCAAGGTTACGTGCCAAATTAAAGGAATCCTGCAAGAATCCTGCAAGCATTTAATCCACAACCTCAAATTTAGCCTTTCTATAATTTCGAATCAAACAGGCATCTGAGTAAACATGGTTTCCAGCAGTTTTAAGACATTCATAAAATGAATGCAGTTAAATATTGTTTGACTAATGCCAGGTTATGCTCCTGTTTTTAGTTAGTACACTGATTCCTCTGGCTCTGCTCCCTGAACGAGAAATGGCCGTTTGCGCTGACTTTACTCCAAACAGATTCCCCCTAAGTTTATACATTGATGTATCAGTGTGCACTGCAAGGTTAAAACCCTCAGGGGGCTTCGGCAGTCCACCTCCCTACCTGGTGTTTTGCTGATCCAGACTATAAGACAAACATGCATGCACCCACATATTGATTGGTGCAGAAGCAGAAAAGGGAGAGGATGCAAAAAAGAATAAGGACTTTTACCAGCTGGGACGCCCCTTTGTGTTGGGTAACAAGGTGATATACTTTAACTTCATTTCCTCTATATCTACTTCCTTTTTTCTGCTCCCAGCAGCAGCATACTTGCTGGCTGTTGGTGGTGTTTAACGTTTCTATCTGCAGTACATCTCGGCCAGAAGCCTCTTCTGATGGCTTTGTAATGAGGTTATTCTGATCAGACACATGCTGCTGGCTTATCCTGCTCCATGTAGCCTCCGTTTCCCTATTCTGAGGCTGCTCATTTTCCTATAGTCTTATAATGATGGAAAGACGTCAAATATCTGCTTGTGTGTACGGTCACAGAACATATTTCAATGTTTACGTTTCCAAACCTGCTGTAGGGATTCCACAGTGGATTCCAGCTGCTCTCGCTTGGACAGCTCCTCCTCCCATCTGCAACACACAGCACAGATAACAGAGGTGGGTCACTTTTACTGCTGGATCCAGTCCCCCAGAGGCCCAACGTATGCCTTAATGGTACTTTTGCGGAATAACCCTCCCATCTCTGATTACAAAGCGCCCCTGACAGTGTGGCATCCCACCCACTGCCCCCTCTATTTCCACCCTTTTGTCCTCTTCCTCCTTTGTTGTCTTCACTGGTTCAATAAAAACTCAAAAGGATGAATGGAAAGCTGGTCTTTCCTCAAACACAACAAACATTGCTCATGAATACTGCTGGGACTCTTGGGTGACTGGAGGGTGGAGTGTTTCTGCCGCAGCCTGAATTCCTTCATGCTAACATGCTCCATTTGTTCATCATCACATCTGAGGAGTGGGAGACATGCTTCTTGTTTGCGTCTGTGAAATTCCATCAGAGTGACTAAGATTTGTGTTAATTAAATTGGACACAGAAATGTACTTATTCACTGAAGTATAATGGATGATTGCATTGTGATTTTACCCGACTGTAACTTACATCTTCAGTTACAGGTTCAGAAATCTTATAAAAAAAATACACTAAAAGAAGGAAAATGCTGGCGTCTGTGAGATTTACGCTAAATGGTGAATATAAGGAGATCATCTAGAAGTTCAGTACTTAGGATGTTATAGGTTGGAAAAGATTTTTGCTTTCCAAAAAAGTCTTTAGTTCATGTTGGGCTCCATAACAAACCCAACGTTCTGCACATGTAATTTAATCCATGTAAAAGTAATCATTCTCATTTTACCATAAGTACATTTAGAGAAACATCAGAGTATTAATATTTGGGATTCAAGTGAGGTTTAAAACCTTCTAAGATGATTTTATAGATCCGGGGATAGTTGTGAAATAAAAATCAAATCAAGACAAGAACCTATTATTCAGAATATGTTCAGAAAAGTCAGTTTCATTATACTTTTAAAAATAGTATACTGTATGCCATTATTTGATCTTGACAAAGAGGTTAAATGTTTTCAAAATAAAGTGCCATAAATGCTGTGAAACCTTTAGGATCTTTTTCTCACTTTCTTGTAAAGTTAGACCTTCAGGTGTCGATGCTTTGTGCAACCCCATTGCAATATGTCAAAGAGTTCATGTGCTTTGGATTCCTAGACTGCAATAAATTTTACTATTCAGAATAGCTTTTCATCGCACTAAAACAAGCCTTAAATGTTACAGTTTAAGGCACGTGGCATGAAATGAGACCCTATCACCTCTCAACACAGTTTTCAAGTTTCCCTGGACTTCATTTTGAACACATCACTAATACTGACAGTAAATAACTTTGATTCTTCTCCCCCAGCAGTATCCAACCTAAGCGTTCATTGTCAGTAGTGCTTAGCATGGTGTGTTTACTAATTGGAAAAAGATTAGTAAACACACCTTATTGTTGGTCCAAATTTTTTTGAATTTTCAAAAGACTTATTGTCTAATTATGGTCACCACCTGATTCCTCTGTTTTGTAAAGACCAAATCGAATTGTACGTGATGGTGTAGCTAATGTTGTTTACATCACTTCTTTTGTGATTCCTGTTTCATATATGGAAGCATACAAGATGAGGCCAGATTCAATTATATTATTATACTATTTAATTTACTCTTTCTTTAACTTACAAATAAACCGACTGAAATTAAATAAGACTGACAATAGAGCCCAAAGCGAGACCGTTATCACTACTGTTGACTGATAACTGCATGAACTGCTCCTACAACAGACCCTTGAGGTACACCATTAGAAATAGGAAATGAAACCATCTTCCTTTATGCACTGTGAGAAAGATAATTAAAAGACAACATATTGTTGTTTATCATCAAATGTTCACTTAAATTCTGTGGTGTCAAGTGGTTATTATAGCATGTTTGCCATAATGACTTTTTGGTATAATGAAAATATTATACCAATGTTTTCATCGGTATAATAGGATTCTTTTGCAAGAAAAACATTAAATTCCCTAACTAAGCTCCTGGCAATCAGTCCACAAGTGGGGAAAACATTCAACCAAAGCTAATAATAAAGCACCAGAGCCTCCGATTAGCTGCGAGCTATAATTAAATATGGAGTTCTTGTTTTCCCCTGTTGCTTCCCCTCTTGTCATATTACTCCTCTTGACCACAACAGCTGTATTTAAACAAAATTAGCAGCCAATTTCATTGTCTTGCTGTGTGTATTGGATACAAACTCCAGAGGGCTTAGCTTTGTGTGTGGGGCATGGCCCCAATACACACTCATCTTGTGTGATATGAGACAGAAACCAAGCTGAGTCAAAAAGGTTTCCCGTGAGAGTGCAGAGTTCAGAATGAAGGAAAAACTCATTATAGCGTGTGAAGTGAAAACACCATGTCAGACCGCCATGTGAGGATGAGTCATTCTGCGCCATATTGAAGGGGATTTGAATAAAAACTGAGTTTCTGAGTGTGAGAATTAGAAAAGACTGGGTGAATCAGTGTATATGCAGAACATATATGTTTACTACATGAGAGAGAGATCACATAGCATTACTTACCCATAGCCTTTGCCATGGAGATGCAAAAATATAGCCTGAATGTGGAACATGGGTTACTAGAAATCCACTTTCGCAACAAAACTCAGCTTTGTTTTCATTCAGAAGCCACTGAATGTGCTCTGTCTAATTAGAAAGAAGTACTCCTTAGCAGGCCTCGCCAGATCGCTCCAGATTGAAAGCCTTGTTCTAAACAAAATGCTGGCAGTGGTGCTACACTCTTGGTCAGTCTGCCGCAGACCTCTGGCTGAGGTCACCGGAGTTCACAGCTGCACCACAGCCTCCACAGATGCATGCTTGTCACAGCATTTTCATCACTTGTGTTGTCGCTTCCTTGGGCCTCGGCCATGGCCTTTTCAGTTCTCACCTGAACTGGAAGTGATAATGGTACAATGCAATTAAATGCCCACCAGAAGGGAAACTTAATCTGAAATATGTGTCAAAGCTATTAATGTTATCAGTCAAATGCATTAGAGTCTGCTTTGTTATTAAAGTGGCAGCTTTTTCCATGTTATTTAGAATGGATAGTTAATAAAGCCAAGAAGACAACCTCCGGGGATGTCGAAGTATTAAAATGAAAAGGTTTTCTCTTCCTGTACCTTTGGCGTGACTGAGTCAAAACGAAAACACCAGGATTCTCCTTACAAGGACAAAAACAGCGGGAGGGTTGGAGTCTGTGTTAGCTCAGACATTTGTTTACTGCCAAACAAATTCTTTCAGATGTCTCCCAAAAGTAAATCAAATTCTAACGTGCAATGTTGTGAAAAAGTATTTCATTCACTTGTATATTTCTACTGTTTTCACTTATTTGTTTCTTTTAAATATTTTTCTATAAAACTTTAATTGCAAAGAAATATAACCTGAGTAAATGCAAAGTGCTGCTTTCAAATTATGACTTAATCTTTTCAAACCCACAATGCCCAATTTGAAAACAACTGATTGTGCCATAAATAGAGTTTAGATCAGGCCTAAAAAATCTTTAGAAGAGAAGTTATTTAACATATCTTTATATTTATATCTTTCTCTGTGTTGTATGTATTACAGGCTTAATGAAACTGTTATATTGTTTGGACTGACACATTTCAGTGTGATAAAAATCAAAACCAGAAGATATCTGCAAGGTGACTGACACTTCATCACAGCACCTTAACTATGGTCTCACAGAAAGGCTTAGAGCTGCAGAAACACATGAAGTAATTTGGTTTCATCTTTCACATCAGCTAGATAAAAAATAAATAAGTAAATAGCAAAGACTGTTAGATATTTGAGAGTCATTGCACATGTTTTCAAATATCTACTCTAATTCTCCATCTGAAATATTATACTTGTATGTTATTACAAGCCTGTGGCAACACAGCAAGGGAAAGTGTCTGAGACCCAACAGATAATTTCTCATGCATTTTTTTTATCTGTTTAACAATAATGTTCCTCCCACTTCTTCACTTTTGGAGTGTGTCTGGGAGCTATGTTTGCACGCGAGCTGCCTGAGTTTTCCCATCGCTGCGCTCGAGGACCCAGATCAGCTCTAACACATCCTGTTAGCATCCAAATTTGATCATCCTCTCCAGCTTGATTCTTTTTGATCACTGTTGACCCTTTGTGGGATGCATACTGATTTAATGATACGTGATTCTTTTTCTTTCTTATGGAGTCAACATACTAATAATTTAGAAGAACAAATATTTATGAGTTGCTGGAATTCCAAAGGGTGGATAGTTATCTTATGCAACACACAGTAAAATACCTAAAAGGCCCCGAGGAAAACACTGAGGTGTGGCTTTGTGTAATGCCCCAAAGCCTAAGTGGCTCATTGCAAAAAAAAATCTGCAGCCAGACAACACCCTGTTGAAATTATATGATGCTGTGGAAAGTGTGAGTCTATGAATCAGATGTCAAATTAAAGGCTGAAACAAGGATTCTTTGTCTAAGACAAGACTTAACCACTGTTTGTCCTCAGGCAATTATTTTAGCCCTGTTTAATTTAAAATTTATTGTTTCAATTCTTGACTATTGGACATTAATGTTTACATTCGACACACTAAACTTGTACAGATAATATAAGTCATTCTTGTGAAAATATATCCAATATATCCATTTTGATGAGGAGGATTTTCTGCCATAAATATTGACTTTGTATGATCTTTCAGGAACTACTTTCATGCCAATGACCAGATTTGTGAAAAATAACTAGGGGCTATGAATCTCTGGAGGTAAATGATCTGTCACTCCAATTTATTTATATATTGTGAAACATATTTGTACAAAAAATTAAAGCCATGAATCCGTTCCCATTCAGTTCCACATAAAATCTAAATCTGAAGGACTGTAAGTGCTACTGGATTTTCTTTTATAGCATATAATCACAATATGCTTTACTTCTCATATATTTATGTTGAAAATTGGTCTCAAATTAAGTAAAACCAGAAATAAGCGCATTATTAGGACTATGGCAATCATTTCATCGGATTGCAAGC